GCCCACCCCCCCGGGGGTTATTTCTCGCCTTCTATCTCTCTGTCTCTCTGGCGAGCACACATGCCTTATAGCAAAAACCTCTCAAAAAAAAAAAAAAGTACCTAGTAGTTAGAATATGAGAAGAAAATTGTGTACCTATGCCTGGCATGTTTAAGACCATGCAAGCTAGGGATTCAAACCACAGATGCCGTGGTGGGACCTGGCCTATTTTTTTTTTTTTTTAGTTTTTGCTATAGGGTGCATGTTCTCACCAGAGGGAGAGAGAGACAGAGAGAGGAAAAGTGAGAAATCACTCACCAGGAATGGTGGCCATGCCACAATCCCTTCTCCTCCAGGGATCTTGGGCACACACACACACCCGCCCAGCGTGAATTTAAACCACTGGGTCTGGGACTCAAACCGTGCTTGACTACATGGAAGTTCAGCTACATAGCCATTACGCCATCTGCTGGTTCCAACCTGGTATGATTTTCAAGCCACCAGGTCCAGGACTCAGACTGCAGTCAGTAGGATCCAGCTGCCTTAACCTGCATACTACCTGCTGACCTGGGACCTGGCATCTCTTGAGCAGCACATTACCACTGCACCACACAGCCAGCCCCATAGTTGGGTTTCTTAACCTCCAGTTAATGAATCTTTATGGAAAAAAAAAAATCCACCTTATTAAATTTTTTTGGAGAGGGTTTTTCGCTATAGGGTGCATGTGCTCACCAGAGAGAGAGAGACAGAAAGCGAGAAATCACCCCCCGGGGGGATGGCCACACCGCAATCCCTTCTCCTCCATTCTCCTCTTGGGATCTTGGGCACGCACACACACACGCCCGGCGTGAGTTTTAAGTCACCAGGTCCGGGACGCGAACCACGGTCGACTACGTGGGAGTCCAGTGACATAGCCATTATGCTAACTGCTGGTTCCCCCTCAATAGCCTCTTAAACCAAAATTTAGCATCTCCTTCCAAAACTGTTATAGATAACAAACCACGGCAACATTAGCAGTACCTATGACTTTTTCACGGTGCAATTACTGATACTCTTGTGTCAGCGTTATGGGTCTTTTGAATTATGATTTATGTGCATCACTAAACATTATAACTACTAGACCTGCTGCTAGAATTCTAATGTGATTAAAAAAGGCATTAAAATTATTTAAACTTTTTAAAGAATTATTTTATTTAACTTTATTTATTTTAATTTGACCAGAAAGGGACAGAGAGAGAGAGAAAGAGAGGAAGAAAGCCACCAGGTCCAGGACTCAAACTGCAGTCGGCCAAGTGGGAGTCCAGCACCCTTAACCACTGCACCACCTGCTGGCCCCTGTTTATTTATTTAAGTCTATTTGTTATTATTTTTAATTTGGCCAGAGAGAGAGAAAGGGAAAGTGAGAAAGCAAGCCACCAGGTCCCAGACTCGAACCACGGTCAGTCATGTGGGAATCTAGCCCCTTTAATCACCACGCCACTTGCTGGCCCCTGGGTTTTGATCCTGGTTTTTACATTAGTCTTCTTTCTCTTCAGTCATATATATATATAGAGAGAGAGAGAGATAGGTAGGTAGATATAGATATGTATGTATATATACACACACATATATAAACACAGAGAGTTTATTTATTTATTTGATGAGAGAGATGGGGGAGAGAGAGATAGAGACTGCTGACAGGGTCTTGCCATGCCTTGAATACCCTCCATCATTCCAGCCAGCCAGGCTTCTAGGGATATCGGAGGATGTTCAGGTCGATCCAGGACTCTAACCCTGCCCCAATCCCCATGGCTCCAGAATTGTGTGATGGTGTCCTTACCACAACTGGATCCATATTATTTTATGAATTTAGAAACATTATTTGGTAAAGGTCCAAAGGGCTCCATGGTAGAAAAGTTTTAAAACAAAACAAAACAAAACCCTGCTTAATAGAAATTCATATTGTCCTAACTCTTCGCAAAGGGATGCTTGATTTGGGATGTTGAATATTTCTCGGGTCCATTTCTTGGTGTCCTCCGAGGGGTTCTGGGGCACTCGTTCCCAAACAGCTGCATCCAGGACACTGGATAAGGGGACGGAAATGTCCCCTGGTACCAAATCAACCAGTTGCAGGCCTACTTCAACCAGTGAGCTGAGAGCTGGATGTACCTCACGCCCTCCTGAGAAAAGTGGCTGCCAGCCATCTAGGCCTCCTGAGATTTGTTCTGATACCCATTAACCTAGCCACAGTCTGACCAGTGGCCTGGGAAGTGGCCAGGCAAGCCTTGCCAAGTAGGTACTCTCAGACTGAAGGGAAGTAATGAACTAATTTAACCAGTTAGATCCTACTTCTCAGGGAGCTTGCATTGCAAGCACGCATTGCATTGTGTGTGTGTTGTAGGGACAGATGTTGGGAGGGCAGCAGAAGTGACAGGGACATAGAAACAGATGACAGGAAAGACCTTCCAGGGGAGTCTGGCCCACACCCCTGCCACTTCCTTCTACCACCTGGCAGGGCTCATCTAACCCCTGCCTCAGAGCTCACAGCATTCTAGAGAACCAGGAGTCCCAGCTGAGCAGGGCTTGCTGCATGATATGGACATGCCAGAGACCCAAAATGAGGTTGGGAAAAAGAGAATTAGTCTCCCTAGTATGACCTCCTCCTGGCCCATGAAAAGGTCCCCACCCTTTGTACCCAGCACCAGCACCCTGTTCATTGCTATGTCATTGTGGGTCCCTTTCCAAGGACTCTCTCTGCTTGACTGCTCACCAAGCAGCCACAGCTGGTATTGCCCCTGGAGGGGAGGATGGATGGCAGCTGGCTGGGAGAAATGGGGATGGAGGGACAGAGTGGTCTGCTACTGCCCACCTGAGAGCATAGGGGAAGTCCCTGTAACCTGGTTTCTCCCGCTCTGGGGTCTACAACACTGCTTCCTGTCTAGAATTCCTCTTCGAGCAGCCTAGTCCACTCTCTTTGCCCAGAAACAGATTCAGATTCAACTACATCCATGTCTCATTTAATCCTAACAGCATTTTGGAGATGAGGAAATGAGGCTCAAAGAGAAGTCTGACTGCAGTAAGAAATGAGTTCAAGGAGCCAGCAAGTAGCATAGTGGTTAAGGCACTGGACTCCCACATGGCTGATCATGGTTTGAGTCCTGAACCTGGTGGCTTGAAACTCATGTTAGCTGTGTGCATGTGGGTACCCAAAATCTTGAGGAAAATGGGGGACTGTGGCATGGCCATCCCCTGGGGGGATGATTTTTCACTTTCTGTCTCTGTCTCTCCAGCAAGCACACACGTCCTATAGCATAAATCTCTAAAAAGATAAAATAAAGAATCTGGGACCAGCAGTTGGCGTAATGGCTATGTTACTGGACTCCCATATAGTCGACCACGATTCGAGTCCTGAACCCGGTGGCTTAAACTCATGCCAGACGCGTGTGCATGCGTGCCCAAGATCCTGAGAGGAAAAGGGATTGCGATGTGGCCATCCCCATTGGGGGATGATTTCTTTTTTCTTTTTTTTTTTTGGAGAGATTTTCACTGTAGGGCGCGTGGGCTCCGCAGACAGACAGAGAGAGACATAGAGACAGAAAGCGAGAAATCACCCCCCACGGGGGATGGTCACGCCGCAATCCCTTCTCCTCCATTCTCCTCTCGGGATCTTGGGCACGCACGCACACGCGCCTGGCGTGAGTTTTAAGCCACCGGGTCCGGGACACGAACCGCTGTCGACTACGTGGGAGTCCAGCAACATAGCCATTACGCTAACTGCTGGTTCCCATTGGGGGATGATTTCTCACTTTCTGTCTATCTCTGTTTTTCTGGCAAGCACACGTGCCCTCTAGCAAAAACCTCTAAAAAAATAAAATAAAATAAGAAGTTCAAACTCCTTAGTATGCTTTACAAAAATCCTACAAACATGGTAAGTTCATAGCTCCCTGCCACCTCTCCCTACCTCACCAAACTGGTAAGACTGTTCTTGCATCCCCACAAAGCATGACTTCTCACATTCAGCTCTGCTCCTGATCTTCCTCTGGCTAGAACAGTCTTAGTATGCTCTGGTGAGTTCTGAGTCAACTTTTAAGATTCGAAGCATTCGTCACTGTCCCTTGTACATTGGCTGTATCCTAACTGCCTTTGTTATCTCCAGCCCTTCACATAGCCTGGCAAGGTAAGGGATCGATAAATATGTGTCCCTTGGCCCCATTTCACTAAATTATTAGGGTGCAAAGCTGTTATCAGCACTTGGAACCCCATGGGATGGCCTCAGCATAATCCTCTTGCCAAGTTCTTGGCTGGGGAGTAGATTACATCTAAAACTCCTGTGGGCATGAGTGGTCTCCTGGGTTTCAGGTGTGCTAAGGGGTTTATTTAATCACTCAATAATCTATATAATAGGACTGTTATGTTCTAAACACTTGGCCAGGTGCTGCGGATCAAAACTGAATGGAGAAATTAGCTAGGAGGATATAACAGCTATAAAGATTAAGAACCTCTAAAAACCTGTAAAAGAAAAACAGCAGAGGGTTTAATCCGAGCTTCTGAACAGGTGTGTGTGTGTAGGGGGTTGGGGAGGGGCGTTCCAAGGCAAAGATTTGAGGGGGATTAGATCGTTAATCCCCAGGTTGGGTCTCGCTTTCAGGAAGGCATGAGGCTTGAATCTCACCTGTACCCATTGTTTCCCTAATTCCCAGCATCGGATCTGAGAATTAGCTGTCTGGTTGGCAGCCCATTTTGCCATCAAGAGCTCCCTCCAGAATACCGTGAAACTATTCTCCCCTGATCCACCTAAACGTGGGTCCCTTAGATGAGCAACTGCCCCTAAAGAGGGTCACGGGCGACCTTTTTAGAAGGTGCGATTCCTCTGAAGAGAGGAGGTTGGCTGGCGGGCTAGTGACCAGGGAGAGCGTCACAAATCCTGAAGCCGTATCTGAGCTCCTAGGCTGACAGGGTGGTCGGGCCCCCGCCCTTCAAGGAGCTTGATTACAGGCAACGCCTCCACTAGGCCCCGCCCCCAAGGGTGTTGATTGGTCACCGAGATCACAGGGCGGGGCCAAACCTTAAAGGGTCCGGGAGCTAAACAAGACCGGAGGTGGCGGTGGTAGTGACGGCTGCGAAACCCAGGGAAGTGATGCCACGTAGCCCCAAGGGGGTTTCTTATAAACTTCTCTAATGACTATACTTTAGTGTCAGGCCCATGGAGCCCACGAGAAACTATCCACTCTTCGGGGGTGCCTTCTCCGCCATCCTACCCACCAGGGCCATTGATGTAAGGTGAGAAGGCCCTGGCGCCCACGGAGGTCGACCGGGAGGGTTTCGTGAAAAAGCAGGGTCAACTAGGGTCTGCCTCGCCTCTCTACAGCGACCTCCGGCCGGTCCCAGACAATCAAGAAGTTTTCTGCCATCCAGTGACCGACCAGAGCCTAATCGTGGAACTTCTGGAGCTGCAGGCCCACGTGCGGGGCGAAGCGGCTGCGCGGTGAGGAAGGGACCTGCGGCTGACCAATCGGAGGGCCGGAGACGAGGAAGTGGGCGGGACCCGTGGCTGAACGGTTAATCAGGGCAATGAGAATTCCAAGGGTACTACCTTACCGCCGGAAGTGAGCGAAAGCATGAGACTTAAAAGATGTTTTCGGGGGACTTAGTAGGAGATACCCCTTCCTGACTCTGCTTCTCCACCCTAGGTACCACTTTGAGGATGTTGGCGGGGTGCAGGGGGCTAGGGCTGTGCTAGTGGAATCTGTACAGCCCCTCGGTTTGGAAAACTTAGCCCTGAGCAGCTGCTGTCAAGAAGCCTGGGTCCTCTCAGGCAAGCAGCAAGTAGCTAAGGAAAACCAGCAGGTGAGGGCCAGAGGGTGTGGGATGTCCTGGAAGGATGAGGGGTGGGGCGATGTTTTGTTTCCAGGTAAGTCTCCTGATACACTGACTCTGACCCTTTAGGTAGCAAAGGATGTGACAGTGCATCAGGCCTTGCTGCGGCTGCCTCAATACCAGACTGATCTCCTGCTCACCTTCAATCAGCCCCCGTAAGGAGGAAGGACTGGGCAGGTGTCTCTTGCCCGGGTCTCCAGATGAGTTGGGCTGGGAAGGGTTGGGCAGAGAGATTGGCTGGTGGGAGCTACCAAATCACAGGTCTGGGTGATGTTTTCTCTCCGTCTGTTTCCCTACCCCCAAGCCCTGACAACAATAGGTTATCTCTTGACCCTGAAAATCTGTCACTGCCACCCTGGAGCCTCGGTGACTTCGAACAGCTGGTTACCAGTCTGACCCTACATGATCCCAACATTTTTGGTCCCCAGTAAAGACGCTGAAGCATGATGCTGGTGAGGAAGTGGGGATGGTGTACTGTTTAGGGACAAAGAGGCCGAATATCAGAGTTTCCTCTTATTTCTGCCCTGTGACAAGCAATGACATCTCTGCAGAAATAAACTTGCTTTATGATCAATATAATCTCTGTGCCTTTTAATCTAATAGGATACCTGGGCCTCCCTAGTTCCCTTTAGTCTTGGAGTGGAGAATTTAAAGCTGTGTGTGGGAGCAGGAGGGACCCAAAGCTGGCAGTGGAGAGAGGCAGGTGATACACTTTGGAGTGACTGGTCCAGCCCTGAGAGAGGGGTCTGACATGTACAAGGGGATGGGGAGGGAAGGTTTAAAGCAACACCCAAAGAAGGGAGGGAGAGTATCCCTTGTAGTGATTCAACCCTGAGAGAGCAGATGGGGAGTGGGGTTGGCTGTCCCCCTCAGATGGATGACAGGTCACCTGGTCGGTAGTCACCAGGACATAGCAGTGGACGCAGAAGTGTCCAAGGAGTGCTGATTTGGTGGAATGTGGGAGTGGCTGTTACTTAGCATAAGTGTAGTAGAGTGAGCGCAGCTGGTCCCAGAAGAAGAGGGAGAGGATGGTGTGGGGGCCGAGGCGGAAGTAGGAGGCACCTATACCCTTGTACATGCCAAAAAAACCCTCTGTCCGAGCTGTCTGCAGCAGAGCGTCCAGCAATCCCCGGTACATGAGGCCCTGAGAACATGTTGGAGAGGGAGGGAAAAGACAGGGAAGGACCTTGTCAGAGCCCACTTTGTGGTCCTCCCCTCTTCACGCTGCATTTTAGGCTTCCTACCTGCATCCCTTATCTTCTCCCCACACCCTCCAGCTCTCCCTGCCTGCCCAACCCCAGGACACCGTCTTACCTTCCCCTGGGCATCTGTGGGTTGGTTGTAGAGCCTTGTGCTGACCACGTCAAAGGGAGTCATGGCCAAGACCACGGCAATCCCGCTCACCATGGCAGCCACTAGAGCCACCTTCCAGCTCTGGGGAGGGAAGATCTAGGAGGACAGAAGAACTCTGCCAATCATTCAGTCCCTGAGACAGGACATGTCCCACTTAGGGCTACAGCCAGCTAGTCAGTCACTCAGGGAGTTTACACTGCACCAAGTATAAGTGTGTCAGGGTGCCCTGAGGGCTCAGGTGCCCCTTCTGGGAGAGAGGGAGTGATGAAAAAACTGTGGGTAGCCTCTAAAGATCATTGACCCCCCCCCCAGGCCCTCTGGTTGCTCTCTTATATTTGAATATTAGCATCATCCCCTTGAGGGCCCTTCTCCTTTTGCCTCCCCTGCCCCCATTCCCAGGATGGCCCCACCCTCTTCCCCGGGCAGTACCTCCCACTGGCTCATGAGGTCCTTGGTGGATGAGAAGGTGCACAGCTGGGTGGAGGAACCGATGATGACTCGGGGTAGGCCGCCCAGGGCCCCACGCCACAACCCCACCAGACCATGTTTCTGGCCAATCTCCGTTAACGCCTGAAACATGCCCTGGTGGGGGGAAGACCATGGGGGTGGGGTTCAGTCACCCCACGTCAGAGGCTGCCACCTTCTAACATGTCAAGGATGGGTCTTTAATGGGCACCTGTTGTCTAGACAACCAGTTCAGTGTGGGCTTAGAGCCAGAACGTGGGCCCTCAGTTGTCTACCACCCCATTGTTTCCTCCCACACCGCCCCAGAGTAGGGATGGGATGAATGGAAGCGAGGACATCATCAGGACAGGAGGAACAGGTGTGGAAGGTGAGAGGAACTGGGGTACATGTTGAAAAGAGTCTGAGTGTACTCTGGGGGCAGAGTGGGGCTGAAATGAGGGTTGTGCAGAACTGTGGCCAGGGCAGAGCTGCTGGTGCAGGCAGAAAACTGGGGGGAAATGGGAGAGGATGGTCAGGGACTCCAGCAGTGTTGGGATCCTCACCTGATGCTTGTACTGGTGCCCTACAGCAATTTCTGAGGCTGCTTGTGCCTGGAGGTGTGTCTTCACCTGGGAACAAGAGAATATTACAACACATGCCCCAGTGGCCATCCTCCCACCCAGGGCCTGACCCCTCACACTTCCTGTGGGGTGTTCAGCAGTGAATGTCTTTTAAATCTGATCATTGTCATTACTACTTAATACATTGATCTTTAACAAAGACTCTTGTGTCCCTTGGCTCCAGTCCCAGGGGATGAATCTCCTAGCACTGCAAATACCCTACCCCCTCCACATGCTCCTTCCCTTGGGGCAGGAGGAGGGGGTGCTGGTAAAGAGCTTGGAGAATGGCAATATTTCCTAAGACTGTTCATATTATGCAAGACCCAGGTCTCCAGCCTCTCATGTTAGCTCCCATACCCAGCCACCATATAACCACGCTCCTCATCAGACTCAGGGAAAAACTGCTCTTGCCCCCAAGGCCCACAGGGGCATGTGTCCTGCTGCCTTAGGAGGAATCACGGTCCCTGAATCTCACACCCTACCTGTGGTTCTTCAGAAGGTACTGCCTCCCAGTCTCTTGTTCTTAGGAGCACTAAGAAGGGCCTGGTCCTAGCAATAAGCAGCTGTGTGACCTGGAGCTAGTCCCTTTCCCTCTCTGGGCCTCAGGCACCTGACCCTTCATGTATACCAGATAAGTCAAAGGGGCAGGTGATGAGATTGAAATTTCACGATGCCCAGAACTTCCCCATCCCTACATTTGCTGACCTGTGTTACTCAAATCGTTCATCCTCCCTTGCACAACTCCAATCTCAATATCAGGTAGTAAAAATATAATAATAAAAGAATACTATGTGCCAGAATTTTTTTTTTGGAGAGGTTTTTGCTATAAGGCACATGCGCTTGCCACAAAGACAGAGAGAGACAGACAGAAATCACCTCCCAGGGGGGATGGCCACGCTACAATCCCTTCTCCTCCATTCTCCTCTTGGGATCTTGGGCACACACACACGCACACGGTGTGAGTTTAAGCCACCAGATCCGGGACTCAAACGGTTCACTACATGGGAGTCCGGTGACACAGCCATTATGCCAACTGCTGGTCCCTATGTGCCAGAATTTTTACTACTTCTTTCTTTACATGTATTATCTAATTTGTCTCTCTCACTCATCTCAATAATCACACAAAAAGGGCGCTACAATTATCCCCATTTTACAGATGTGTCAACTGAAGCCCGTCAACTAATAATTTTCAAAGCCAGGATTTAAGTTCCAGAAAGACTGATTCTAAAGTCTTACTCAAGACATTTGATTGTGTTCATTAGATGGGTATGGATCTGGCAGGCCAGAAGACCCAAAACCTACCAACACTTTCCTGATGCCCTTACCTGCCTGCAGGGGGACAGCACCCTGCCACCTATCCCCTTATAAAGGACCAGGCTCCCACCCTGCACCAAAGGTCTGCCCTGAAGGCTCCAGGCAAGACCTTCCTTCTTACCATGTAGATGGGGCTCCCCAAGTAGGCTCCCATGACCCCAGCCAGGGCCCCAGCTGCTGCGCTGCGGGCTGGACTGTGGGTGCCCTCAGCCGTGTGCAGGTAGCCCCCAGCCTCAGCCAGCCCGTAGGTGCCCAGTCGGATGCCATTCATCAGGAACTGGTATAAGAGGGCAGGGGCCAGGCCTTTCTGCAGGGCAGCCAGGCCGTCCACTTTGCCGATGGTGATAAAAGCATGGAAGACGTTTCGGTAGTGCCGCTGGTAGGTGCCAGGGGCCTGCAGTTCTCCCTGCAACTGCATCCTGGTCTTCACCACCTCCAGGGGATTGGTGAACACACAGGCTCCACAGGCTGCCAGGCCACTCATCAAGAAGTCCATAGTGGGTAGCAGCTGCAGAAACTGGCCCAAGGAAGAAAGTCAAAATGAGCCTCAGAAAGGGGAGCTGAAAGTCAGTTTCAGTGGACCAGGCTGTAGGAGGTAGGAATTTGAAGGTCTGGGGTCAAGAGTGTCAGGGTCAAATGTCAGGAGGTCAAGGGTTAGTTGGAATTTGGGAGTCAGGACCTGTCAAAGAGGAAAGCAAAAGGGGTGTAGGAGAGTCTAGAGAGGTTATGACAGGGCCCTGCTGGTCAAGGGATTTGAGGTCAAGGAGGGGCAAAAGCCAGGAAGTGGCAGGAGGGATGCTCCGGACAGCAGGCTACCGGGCAGGGGAGTAGAGGAGGGAAACGCGGAGCTGGGAGATGGGCGCCAAGGAGGCAGGAAGCAGAGAACCAGCAGGTTCAGGAGAAAAGGATCCGGGAGGAGATCCGGTGGGGTCCCCGAGACAGCAAGATCTGGATCCGGGAAGGAAGTCGGAACCCCAGCCAAGTACGAGAGTCCCCAGGCGGCTACCGGAGCCTGCAGCAGCTCTGCCCAGGGTAGCCTGTCGAGGCCGGGCCGCCACACTCCAATCACTCGAGCGCGGTGCCAATGGGGAGCCTCTGAGAACCACGACCGAGGCCGCAGCCAATCAGCGCCGAGCCGGCTCTGTGACCAATGGGAGGCGCTCTCGGCGACCGGCCCCTGGAATCGGCGGAGGGGAGGTTAGAATTAACTCTCCCCGCCCCGGCGCCAGGGCCTGGGAGGTGGCCTTCGGCTCCGGGGAGGGTCTCCGAGGAGAGTTTTTGTCATTGAGCAGAAGAGGGATTAGCCGCCGGAGGCAGAGGCTGAGCTCGGAGGCATCGGTGCCCCACTGGGCTGTTTGGGGCTGTTCCTCCAGCTGGCTGAGGGCTCCCTCCTGTCTGTCGCCTTGGATGGGGGTCAGTCCGCGGTGGGGGTTGCCAGACATCCCGTCCAACCCAACGCCTCGGTTCTGGTGACAGGAGAGCTTGGAGGCTGTGGAGGGAGATGGGACACACCTGGTGGACTAGACTTTTCCGAGGCTGAGTAAAGTGTGTAGATTCTAGCCAAAGGTGTAACTGGCTACAGGCCCCAAGGGAGGGAGAGAGGCAGGGAGAGAAGCCTGAAGGTTAGCCAGGGAGCTTGGTAAACCCTTAAGCTCTTTTGATCCTCACAGCAACCTGGAGGAGAAGGCAGGGCAGGTCAAGGCAGGGATTTTGATCTGAAGTACAGCTAGGCTTAGGTGACAGAGAGCCAGCAAGAGGTGTGAGATCCTGAGATTCTGAACTCTTATACTTGTTTTATGAGTCTGGTCATGATTAACCATGGAAGAGAGGAGGCTGGGGAAGCTAGCCAAGAAGGGGTTGAGGAAGAAGGCAGAGAGGCGATAGGGGCTGTCACCTGGGGCCAGAGGAAGAGGTAGAGGTAGAGGGCTCTCTCTAGTGTGAGAGGCCATTGAGTTCCAGTTAGGCTCTTCCTGCTTGGCAGTTGGATGGCCTCAGGCAAGTTACTTAACATCTCTGAATCCTCCTGCAAAGCGAGAATAACAGTGTCTGTTGCAAATGCCCAAGAGAACTTGTCCTAGGTGCTCAATAGTCAGGTTTGTCAGAACTCTGCCCTGTACTTCTGTTCTCCCCACCTGGTATACCCCTCTCTGCTTTTTATGGTGATCTCCAAGTCATTCTTCACCTTGAGTATCATCTCCTGACCTCTGAAGCTTTTTCCAAATTCTTCACATTCAGCCGCTTTCTTCCTGCTTTGTTCTTCAAACACTTAGCCCTTTTCTAATTCTGGCTAGCAATTGTTTACTTTCTGACTTCTTCACTGGACTGGGAGTTGCTCCATGCCCTGGGGAGCCAGGTCTGAGTCATCTCCCTCTCACCAGGGTACTGCTAAATCACTGAGCCTAAGTATCAGACAGGAGGGATACTCTGGGAGTAGAGAGTCAAGAAGAGCAGATAGGGGAACCAGCAGGTGGCGTGGTGGTTAAGACACTAGACACTCCCACAAGGCCGGCCACGGTTCAAGTACTAGACCTGGTAGCTTGCTTTCTCACTTTCCCTCTCTCTGTGTGTGCGTCTAACTCTGGTCAAATTAATTTAAATAAATAAATAAATGGATAAATAAATAATTTAAAAAAAAAAAGAAGAGCAGTTAGGGGCCAACAGATAGAGTGGTTACGTCACTGGACTCCCACAGGGTGGACCCACATGGTGGACTATGGGTCAAGTCCCAGACCTGGTAGCTTGAAAATAACACTGGGTGCTTGTGTGCAAGTGCCCAAGTTCCCAGAAGGAGAATTAAGAAGATGGATTGTAGAGTGACCATCCACCTGGGGGTGGTGATTTCTCAATTTCTCTCTCGCTGTCTCTGTCTCTCCCTGGCAAATACATGTGCTCTATGTGTTAAAAAAAAAAAAAAGAAAAGAAAAAAAAAAAAGAGAGAGAGAAATAATGGGGCTCTTCACCTCCTCAGGAAGATCCCTGAAAGGGTCTCCAAAAAATTTCTAGGGAATCTTTTCAGGTGCTCCACCTACTTGCTTGGATGAGATTTCATTATTGTTTTAAATCTTGAGCTTACATTTGTGATCTACAAAATGGAGTCCCTGGAGTTCTTACTAGAAATGCAAATTCTATAGCCTCACCCTGAACTTCTTGAACCAGCAACTCTGCAGATGGGGCCTGGGCAATACGTGTTTCAACAGATCCTCTAATGTGTGTGTTGCAGAACCATTGGCTTAAACTTTTCATCTTTAATATCAGATGCCCTAGGGACCAGCAGTTGGTGTAATGGCTATGTCACTGGACTCCCATGCAGTCAACTGCAGTTTGAGTCCCGGACCCAGTGGCTTAAACTCAAGCTGGGCACATGTGCACGTGTGCTCAAGATCTGGAGAGGAGAATGGAGGAGAAGGGATTGTGGTGTAGCCATCCCCCTTGGGGAGTGATTTCTCACTTTTTGTCTCTCTGTCTCTCTCTGGCTTTCTGGCTGAGGGCATGCGCCCTAGAGCAAAACAAAACCTCTCCAAAACAAACAAATAAAATCAGATGCCCTAGAGATAGACAACTTTAAAGATGCTATTTATCCCAAGGGGAGAATGAAGGAGAAGGGATTGTAGTGTGGCCATCTCCCCTGAGGTGATTACTCACTTTCCCTTTCTCTGTCTTTGTTTCTATCTCTCTTCAGTGAGTACACACACCCTATGGCAAAAATCCTTAAAAACTAACAAAAGAACTTGAAACCAGGAGGTGGCAGAGTGGTTAAGGTGCTGGACTCACACCATGGGTTGAGTCCTAGACCCGGCAGCTTAAAACTTATGCCAGCACATTTGCGTGTGTGCCCTAAATCCCAAGAGGAGAATGGAGGAAAAGGGACTGTGGCATGGCCATCTCCCCACCAAGGGAGTGATTTCTCTCTTTCTGTCTCTCTCTGTCTCCCTGGTGAGTGCACACGCCCTATAGCAAAAATCTCTCCAAAAAGAGCTTAATCTTTTTTTTTTTAATTTTATTTAACTTTATTTCAATTTGACCAGAGTGGGACAGAGTGAGTAAGAGAGAGGGAAGGTGAGAAAGAAAACTGCCAGGTCTGGGACTCGAACCATGGTTAGCCATAGTGGAAATCCAGCTCCCTTAACCACCACACCACCTGCCGTACACAAAAGCTTAATTTTTTTGAGAGAGAGATTTTTGCTATAGGGCATGTGCATGCTCACCAGACAAAGAGACAGAGAGACAGAAAGCGAGAAATTACCCCCTAGGGGGGATGGCCATGCCGCAATCCCTTCTCCTCCATTCTCCTCTTGGGATCTTGGGCACGCACACACACGTGCCCGGCGTGAGTTTAAGCCACTGGGTCCAGGACTCGAACCGTGGTTGACTATATGTGAGTCCAGCGACATAGCCATTGCGCTAACTGCTGGTCCCCAATAGCGTAATCATTAGAACGATTTCCAGAACATTTACATTTTCTGAAAACATTATACAGAAAAATTACAAGTAGAGTTCTCATATATTCTATATCTGCTTTCCCTATTATTATCTTACATTAATATACATTATTACAATTAATACACCAATATTGATATGTTATTATTAACAAAATTTTTTAAAGACTTATTTAATTTTAGTTATTGTCATTATTTTATTTTAATTTTATTTTTTTGAAGTTGACAGAGAGAGAGAGAGAGAAGGAAAGTGAGAAAACAAGCCAGGTCCAGGACTGAAGCCATGGTCAGCCATGTAGGAGTCCAGCCACCTTAACTACCATGCCATCTGCCGGCCCCAACAAAATTTCATACTTAGTTCAAATGTCTTTTATTTTTGATTAAAGTACATTTTCTGTTTCAGGATTCCATCTAGGACATCAAATTACATTTTTTAAAATAACTATTTTACTCAAGTTTATTTATTATTTATATTTTTAATTTGAACAGAGAGAGAAAGCAACCCACCAGGTCCAGGACTCGAACTGTGGTCTGCCATGTGGGAGTCCAGCACTTTTAACTACCTTGCCACTTGCCAGCCCCTCAAATTACATTTTTTAAAAAATTTTGCCACAGGGCATGTGGGCTCACCAGAGAGACAGAAAAAGAGAGAGAGAGAGAAAGCATCCTTCATGGGAGATGGTCATGTTGCAATCCCGTCTCCTCCATTTCTCCATCCTGTCAGGATTTGGGGTGTTCATGCACATGCATCCAGGGTTATTCTTCAAGCTGCCACGCTGACATTTGAACACAGTGAGTCATGTAGGATCTAGCGCTCTTAACCACGAGGCCAAGGACTGGTCCCCAAATTACCTTTAATTGTCCCATCACCTTAGGCTCCCATGTGGCTGATCTTGGTTCCAGTCCGCAAGTCCCAGGGCTTGAAACTCATGCCGGGAGTGTGTGCGAAAGGGAGGTCAGATATTTTGTAGAATGTCCCTCTATTGAGGGTTTTTCTCTTGATTGCACTGGATTATGGGTTTTCCCAGGAAGATCCCAGAGGTAAACTGCCATTTTCATCAGATAATATAAAGGATAGTACTTGATATCATCCACATGACTTATCATTGTTGATGCTGTCCTTGATTACCTGACCTAGTCAGTTTTCTTCATTGTGTTACGTAAAAATTAAAGGATGTCATTGGTTTGAACAAAGCTTCTACACTAGGCCCTAACAGGCCAGTCTAAATAGGAAAAGAGAGTCATTCATGTCTCCCTGACACCAAGCCTAAATCAAGCTATTAGACCTACTGAGAAGTCAGGAGAGAGACAACCACCCAGCTTTCCAAACAAGCTCGTTTCAATTGGCAGGATAATGAAGTTCCCTGTTTTAATTCTTACACACAAAAAGTAACCTGAAGTAACCTGATGTTAACAATCAGCTATTTTTCTACTGTTCTGTCTGCTTGTCCTAGCCTTACAAGGAAAATAATTGAAATGACTAATCCGTTTCTTGTTTTTTTAAAGAGGTCTTTGCCTTAGGGCACATGTCCTCCAGAGAGAGACACAGTGAGATGGGAAAGTAAGAAATCCCGCCTCCCAGGGAAGATGGTCATGGTGCAATCCCTTCTCCTCCAATGTCCTCCTGGAATCTTGG